CCATTTGCGCATCTTCCTTTTTTATTGCAATTGGCAACACCGAACGTATCTCTCTCAGTATATATGCAGCATGTTAAAATTCATTTGTGCATCTTCCTTTTTTATTGCTATTGCAATTGGCAACACCTAATGTATCTCTCTCTGTATATATGCAGCGTGTATCATTACAGCAGTGACAAACTTTTAGGAGAGATAGAGTATGCGTAGATGATGGGAAATCACATTGGAATGCATGATTGGAAGCGCTTTCCTGGTGCAGTAGTGACGACACAAAAGTCAAGAAAGAAAGGATATCAAAGGACCCCAGACTGTAATGCAGGCGTCATATCTCCAGCGCATTGGAACATGAATGACACACGGTTTCTGCATGATGGTCTGGAGTAGTAATTTAGAACACCTACTTTAATGACGATTGTCTATTTTTGTTCTTATTTCTTGATTTCTGCTGTACTAAGCATAATGAACATGTTCTCTCACTCTGTTCGTGTCCTTCCTTTCTTGTGATTTGTGTCGTCACCACCACGACAGGAAAACGTTTCCGACCATCTATTGCTATGTGATTTCTCATCGTTTAGGTGATGACAGCGTGCTGGCTAGCAATTAATATTGCTTGTTGTGGGGGTGAAGTAAATTTGTCAAATAGTCATTAAATTTAAATTAAACTGAAACAAATGTACCTAGACGATATTACTAGTGAGTCACGGATATTGGCTGCCAAACCATATGATACAAGTACGGAGAGGTACAGTAAAGTTAAAGAGATTATTAAAATAAAATTAAAGTGAGGGGCACGGATGTCAAATCTATAGATCAATGGGGATCTCTAAATTGACAGTCATTGAAGTGAGGAATTCCATTGTTCCGTTTGATGGTAACATTTGTACAAAGCATTAGGTTTATTGATAATATTATTGATAAGAGTGAAAATTCACTTCGAGACTCAAACCGCGAATTTTCTGATTGCTGGTTGGATGTGATAAACATTCATACCGCAACAGCACGTACAGGAGAATGCGTTAGTTTCTTACATATTCCTCCAACTTAAAAGGCAAATTGAAGGTAAACATAAAATCAGTCGTTTAATTCCAGGTGCAATGAATTACTATACTGCACATTTATAGTTTGAGAGTAACAATTAGGTTGTTTACTGTAAGTTAATACGCAATCTATGGAATGTACGTTAATGCATACCTTACCTAAGAAAAGAAACGAAACATTTCTATATTGTTTACGGTTTTTGTATTGATTTATATAGTTGTTTGCTATTTTTAATATAATTGTTTCCTTTCCTCGTGCAATGTTGCACGCGTCTTATTTGAAGAAAAAGCTATGGCTGAAAAATTAAAAATACAGGAGCACCCGCATTTAATAAATAGATATCTCATAATTGTACGCTTTTGCTTTTCGAGAAAATACCACACTATGCTCTTACTGATTAAAAAGGTTATAAAAGCCAGAAAATGAACACCTCAGATCAGCTGTTTTATGAGCTTTGTTTAGAAAAATGTTATTGCGTACTGTAGCGAATTCGCGGGGAGATTGGATTAGCTTTCCCTACGTCTCTCTGTTTTGAAATAAGTTCTGTTGAACGTTATAGTAGTTTAAAAGATAACTACTGTGAGATATTGTACGATTATGTCGGAAGAAATTTAAGCATTTTGTTTTATTTGTTCTGATAATAATACATTTCTATTCACTTTTCATCGGACTAGTGCATTCAATTTATTACCAACCCGTACGCAAGCAACAATATTTCCCGTTCTATTGGGCCGACTGACGAACTTGCATTTTTTAAATCTCGAAAGCGTGACTCCGGATATATATTATAATTATATACAGAGTGTATCAATACACTGGTGACAAACTTTCAGGAGAGATAGTACCTCTAGACGATGGAAAATCACACTGGTGTGCAAAACTTAAGCAACAATATAATTTTTAATCAGATAGCCATGAAATTGTAGAAAATGGGTTCTTGCGTTCAGTACAATGAACACACAATTCAGTAGAAAGGTCATGCGTATGCAAATGTCAAAAAAAAAAAAAAAAGTCACAGAGTACGCAAAACGCGTACGGTCGGCGCGCTCAACTCGTGATTACCATAAAAGGAAGGATGGAGATGCAATTAAAAAAATTCACTGCAAATGCAAGGAGTTCTTTCGTGAAATATGGCTAGAAGAAATGATCTGGATGACTTCACACGTGGAAGAATGATAGAAAATCTGGAACAGGGGCGGAGTGTGACCAGTATAGCTGAAGAGTTCGGAATTAACAAAGAGGCGTTTCGCGCGTTTAGAAAGCCTTCCAATACCATAGGTTACAGCTATTAGAAAGGTTGGTGGTGGCCATCCCAGGAAACCGAACTGCAGCAAAATAACCCGATATATAGTCTTGCAGACGAAAAGAGCCCGAAACCAATCACCAAGCGCCATAGTTCAACAACTATGTACAGCAACGTGGCGACAATTTGTCGTGGATTTACTGTGTCCAAGACACCTTTCACAAAGATGGCCTTATGCGCCTGCCAGTCCTGAACGCTGCATCCCTTTGAAATTTGGCCATAGGCATCACCGTTTACAGTGGTGCAAGGAGGGCAAAATCTGGGTATCTCATCAATGGATTCGTATCCTCTTTATGGATGAAAATCGCTTTAGTGGCACAAGCGATTCTCAACACAAATTGATTTGGAGAGAGGTCGGAACACGGTTTAATCTCAGTAACATTACGGAAAGAGACCGTTACGGTGTCCTGAAGATCTCGTCTGGAGAGGCATTATGTTGAACGGGCGGACGGAGCTCCACGTTTTCGACAGAAGTTCTGTAACCGGAGATCGCTATCGTCAGGAGGTGATCCTTCCCCATGTGCATCTGTTCCGAGCTGCCATTGGAGCAGACTTCGTTTTTATGGATGACAATGCACGGCCACACCGGACTCTTGCTGTTCAGAAGCTACTGAAAAGTGAAGATATCACTCGAATGCATTGACCAGCGTGGTCCCTTGATTTAAACCCCCATAGAACACTTGTGGAATAGAATGCTTTGGGGGAGACGCTTGTGACACGATTACATCCTCCAGGGAACATCCAACAACTGAAACAGATGCTGATTGAGGAATGGGCACTCTTACCTCAAGATCTGTTGGAAAATCTGATGCTGAGTATGGAGAGACCGTTCGAAGCAACCATTGCAGTAAGGGGAGGGCATATCCCATACTAAGGAACACCTGCTTGTTGTTCTTCCTCTTGTACAGACAATCATGTGTAACGATACTATGAGTTCAATAAGGTTTGTTTTTGTTTGATTTCATACTGTATGCATTGTATTCATTTTTAGAGCAATTATGCTTTTGTCATCGTTTAAATACAAAATGTTACCTCTTAATTCTGAATTTCATGTCTCTCAGATGATTTCTAATGGAGTTATGCCAAAACGAACACCTGTTGCTTAAGTTTTGCACACCAGTGTATAATCGCTCGTCGACTAGACTTCCGCGTCAACAATAGAGGACGAAGTTTTCGCCAAAAAAGTGATATTCAGCGATAAAGCAACATTCCACTTATCCGAGAAACTTGGTTGAAATAGTGAAAACACCTTCGTGAACTTGTGGTTATTTTCATATATCTTTCATGTGCGTACGTAAAATACGTTTGAAAATATAGCCTTTTGAAAACGAATGAATCATTTGTGCTAAACCTGTATTTATTAATATCTGTTTTTTTATTAAACTTACTGGATTTCTTCTACAGTTTGAAATTTAGGTTAAATCTAAATTAAATTCGAGATATTTTCTAATTTCGTTTTAAAATTTGAATTTTTTAGTAGCTTATATATATTTTTCGAAAAAAATTTCGAATTATAACCTAAATAATTCTTGCCATCATCTTAAAGTATACCAGCAAAAAATTAGAAATTTTTTTCAAAATTTCCGAAGATATAACTAAATTAACAAATTTAAGCGTTTTGAAATTTTGCATATTTATTATAATTGATTATAAAGCCATATATGATTCATACAGATACAATAACATGCCGAACAAATATTAACTTAGAAGCTAAACAATCAAAACTAGTCCTGTGAAAAATTTGAAAATATAACGCTGATTTTTTGTTATTTGGCTTCTAAGTTAATGATTCATACATTTTGTTAAAGTTATTTGACAGAATAAACGATGCACCTTTTATTGAGCTCCTACACAGTGAAAGGCAAAGAAAAATTGGTTACCGTTATACTTCCCGCTTTCTTAGCGTCCTTCGCGGTGTAGTGGTTCTGCACGCTGGGCCGGTATTCCAGAGGTCCGTCGTTTGATTCCAGGCGAAGGCGTTTGCTATTTTTCATCTTGTCTGCTTTCAAAAAAATTCATAATGTCTCTACAGTGGCGCCCGAACTAAAAGGATTGTGGATGATGATTGTCCACACCCAGGATTTGGCGACTGGGTCCCCTAAAACCTTAGTCGCCCTTTAAAAACGGGGAGTATATAAGGTACTTCTCCCGCTTTCCTAGCGTCCTTCGTGGTGTAGTGGTTCTGCACGCTGGGCCGGTATTCCAGAGGTCCGTGGTTCGATTCCCGGCGTTTGCTATTTTTCATCTTGTCTGCTTTCAAAAAATTTCCTAATGTCTCTACACCGTAATTTAAGAATTTTTCCAGGTGAATAATTATTCTTGTCGTAAGCTGAAGATATTGCACAAATTTTAAATTCTCGGTAAGGCGTAGTTACGAAATATGGAAAAAATAACTATGTCACGTAACAAAATGTCCGATTTCTTCTGGTCCAAATACCTATGTTAGAATAATGCTTTATATAAATCTGATATATATCCTAAGTTGCGGTTTCGAGACGTTAAAAACGTAAGTTAAATTATGTCAATCGGCCCAGTAGAACGAGAGCTATAGAGCTGTTCTTGTGTATGTGTTTGTGTGTGAGGTGTACGAAAGTTTGGAAGGCGGTGGTGTGTAATCATCGATAGAGTAGCAGGTCTTGCCTCGATCCCGCACACGTACTCTCGTTGGTGGTGAAGAGGGCCTGAGGATTCTCTCGAAGGATGATGAGCCGCACGGGGGAAGGAGTCTCCTTCAAACACTTCACAGCCTCGGCAAGAGTCGCCTCCCGGAAAGAGATGTCATTCACCTAGAGAGAAAAACACAGAAATACAACCATAAGTTGAGGGTTATAATTTATTCGGCACACATTTCCTTTACGTCCCCTTAAAATCAATCTTACCTATACGTACAAAAATGTTATTAAAAAATCATAATTATATTGAATGTGCGGCCACCAGGCAGAATAAAGGTAACCTCTTTGGGGGCTGCCCTGAAACATCTTGCAACAGCCAAGGCCCAGGATCTTTGAATGACGTCCACCTTCATTTTCTACCTGATCATCTGCCCCCCTATGTACTCCCGAGCTCCAATAACATACATAATAATAGCTAATATAACATTTTGGTAAATCTTCTCAAGGTTAGTAGTTTTCACACCCAGGACCCAAGTTTTCATACCCGTCTATCATATGGTTCCGCTGGGACAAGGCGGTTTGGGTCTCTCTTGACCAGTTCACCCAGGACGTCTGCAGAAAATGTTCTTTTTTAATTTAAGGGAATTGAATCAGTTCTACGTTGAATTTATCTAAAGTGCTTACTAATGTTCAGTTTATTATCCACGATGACGCCTAAGTATCTCAAATCGGCCACGAAGCGAATTCTTTTGCCTCCAAACATTAATTGTGGAGTTTGCGTATTTTTTACTTCCTTGGAAAAGAAAAAAGCATTAGTCTTATCAAAACTAAATCCTAACATTTCTTGAATTTGTTGCCAATTTTCTAGAAACACTACAAATTTCATCATATGGCTTTTCGATTTTTTCTAAAGAATCATGTCTTATTAGAACAACGATATCATCAGTTTAAGGCAATAATTTTTTAGTTATGAGGAATATAATTTTGCAATAGCTTGTCCATAAAAATATTCCAGAACAAAGGAGTGCTGCTGGTGATCTGTGGGCATTCCCGATATATATTACAAATAACCTCCTCGTTTGTATCATTGAAACAATTAAACATAATTTTTCTATCAGTAAAATAGTTTGTAAGCAAGTAAAATAGGTTTCTAGGAGTTTTCAATCTGTTGAGTAATGAAATCCAGTTGACCGAATCAAATGCTGCCGGAATGTTTAATGATATTAAAACCACGTGTTGATCTTTCCTATATGTTCTAATAAAATTAATAACATCAAACAACGCATCATCCGTGCTCTTTCCAAAGGTGAAACCGTATTGATTTTCGTTGAAAGAACAATTTTTAACAATATGATGTGTCAACCTATTGGTAATCAACTTATCTAAAACCTTGCCAAAGAAGTTTAACTGTGTAACGGGTCTTTGCTTGTTAACAATTTTGGGAATCAATATTACTTTACCCAATTTCCATCTCCTTGGAGAAACAGCACAATTCAAACACAGATTATATAAATTTACAAAAAACAACGGATTCACATTAAACAACCTTTTGACTGTAAGAGCGTGTACATTATCCGGACCAGCCGAAGCAGTAGATTTTGGTTGGCGCCCTTTCAAATATGTAAAGTGAAAAGCAGCATTTTCGGCATATGTGACTTTTTTAGTATCTGAAAAGGTAAAAATGGTGTTCAAGCAGAGTAAGAAATTATTCATTGTGCATGGAGAAGACGCATTGACAGAGATCCAGTTCCAAAACTGGCTTGCAAAATTTCAATCCTACAATTTTGATCTTGAAGATGCATCACGTTTTCTGGAAGGCCAGTTGAAGTTTATGAAGACTTTGTAGAATTCCTCACTTTGTAAATGCTAAGTTACAGTTCAACGTGAAGAATTTTAAGAGCTGATAAGCGAATAATCGCTTGAGTTCGTGTGACAAGAAACAACAAGATGGAACGGTAAATTATTCAGATAAGATTATTATTCCCTTTATGATTCAGATAAGATTTAACAGAACTCCGTCTTGGAGTGTACAATAAAAGCCGACACTTCGGCTCGAACTTAAGAGGCTAAGAAGTAAACTAAAACTAATCTAAACTAAAAGAGATATAGCCAAAGCTATCAAGATTCTAACCGAATTGGTTCTTTAACGCTAATTGACTGCGAAGCTATCAAGGGGGGCCGAGCGTAATAACAGCTTTGAGAAAGAGTAGCCAAAAAGGCGGACGCGCGCTAATCAGAATCTCTGATTCACTCCAACTCAGCAAGTAGAACTACGCGGTTAAATACCGCTCTTCCTCATTATGCATTCAGACGTGATTCTAAAACTACGTTCTGGCCGGAAGTAGTAAGTTGAAGTTAAGAATTTGACAGGAAAGACGTTTAACTAAAAATTTAACTGTTAATAAAATTAACACTGTTCTTACTATCTAATTATTAAAAACAATGTTAAAGCTGTGGGTTTTCGACATTTAAAACTACGAAAGGTAATATTGTCCGCAACAAAGGAAAAGACGCCAGAGTTTGGTTTCAAGGTGGAAAATTTGTTCCAAGTACGTGTCCAAGCAAAAATTGAATGTTTAGAATGTTGCATAGGTACGGTTTTTAATGTTAAAAGAAAATCCACTAAGTCAAAGGACAGTAGCAAAATCATTGAAATGCTCGTGTCAACTGTAAACAAAGTGATGAATGCTGATTTGAATCTTAAAAAGGTGAAAATCCATAATGTGCATCGTCTTTCTCCACGACATATCACCAAATGCGCTGCAGAAGTCTTTAACAGAAACATTTAACCGGACGAAACGGGAAAAATGTGTCACAATAGATAAATCTTCGGTGCATTTAAACGATTGCAATAAAAAGAGATCCATTTATTGTCATCAAAGTGGGAAAAATATTTAAAATATGGTTCAAAGAATCTAAAGAAGGGGAATCTAATCAAAGCGATTTACGATTGTTGCTTATTTTTCCTATGACGGCAAATTAAAAATAAAGAGAGTAGAGAAAATGTGAAGATCAACTCCATATATTATCAGGAATATATTTTACACGCAATTTTTTAATATGAAATACATTTTTTTACCCATGATGCCATCAATCAACAGAACTGCCTCAAAACGAAATCCACAAGTCCAAGTCCACAGTTAATTTTATGGAAAAAATGGAATAATCATCGCTCTGTATCCCCGAGCTCCAATAACATACATAATAATAGGTAATATCACCATTTTGGTTCTTCCCAAGGTCAGTAGTTTTCATATCCAGGACGTCTGCAGAAAATTTTCTTTTTTAATTTAAGGGAATTGAAATCTACGTTGAATTTATCTAAAGTGCTTACCAAAGTTCAGTAGTTTATTATCCACGATGACAAGGCCATATCCCTTCATTCATATCCCTACTAAATCTGCTAATCTAGATTGAAAAGGAAGTAATAGGAAAGTGCTAACTTAAAATGAACTATTAGTTAAAGATAAATAGATAAACCTCACAACAATTCCCCAGAAAATAGCGATTAAACATTAATACATAAAAAGTACAGTAGAATACAATACATACAATATTAGCAGAAAAACATCTTTGAGTAAATTTAGAATAATAAAGGTGCAGATACGACAAACAATACTAGGATTTAGGATTTAGGAACGGGGAAGACGGGCATCACGCCTTTACCATTTGGTTAATTGGTTTAACGCCGTCTTCCCACTACGTGATCCCAACCGTTTATTGATATTACAAACAATACTAGCTTAGCTCTAAAAAGCACTTTTCACATCCATTACATCGTAAATGTTACATAAACTGTATCACTATCACAATCTAAATGGGCTCGGCGGACTCTATTGCATAAATAAGGCATTGTTTTAAATCTTACTCTCTTTTATTAGAGTGTAAATAAAGCTTGCTAAATCCTGTCGACGGCAGAAGCGCATTTCTCAATTCGTGTCGCGCAGTCCTATATGAAAATACCCAGAACTTACTCAGAATACCCAAATCCCTTCCCCCTTTTTAATTTAATACACACCTTGCAAAAGCATTCGAGCTAAAAATATTTAAAAACAGTATATCTTTAGAATTTCCGATAGACATTTAGATTTTGCACTGGAGATAAAAAAAAAATGATTTATTCCATACAATGTTGCCACTGCTGGTTTTGAAGTCGTTGAGTTTTTTAATAAAAAATCGCTAAACGTTTGCGAAATAGGAAATAGATAATAAAACAAATTCCGATTTCAAATTCGGACTTCCAGATGTCAATATTCGAGTGGAGGACTACGTTATTCAAAATTGGATGGCTCTAGGTACAGTTGTTTTTTGACAGTGGGAGGAAAATACATATATTCATGCAGATTATTAATTATTTAATTTCTTTAAATATAATACAGGACGATAATATTTAATGGCAACAATCTGAAAAGTGAAACGAACATTTTAAACCGACGCAAAATACCGTTTCGAGACTTAATAAGCCTTAAGGTCTAATGTTGTTCTTAATTAATTGGCTGTTTGGGAAAACCAACAAACAAATATTCTTTATTTACTAAAAAACAAATTTTTCTGCAAACGATATAAGGAAATGATATACAGAATTTTGCTAGTTGTCAGTGAAAGTCGTAATAATTCCCTAAAAAACGCTCTACAAGCAATGTGTGTTTTAGACGAATCATTCCCAATACATTTTTGTTCACAGTAGAAGTTCCGTTAAATGTTAACACACTTACTTATTTTAAGTCTTAACAGGTAACAGTCTCGCTAAAATACGTTACTTATTTTTTGATGGTTTTGTTTAATATCCGACCCGAAGTTTCAACCCGATTTTTGTTTTCAAATATGCACTGTTTGCTAATCTAATTATTGCAGCCGTCTATGTTTCCGCAATTACGCCACAGTGTCTATCTCTTATATTTTTTATATTATAAATATTGCGTATATTGAACCGCTTTAGAAGACATAAGATATTTTACACTGTTCTGATTCTGAGCGAAATTAATTAATTTTTAGATATTTTGTTATTTAAGGATTAGCTTATGGATGCTAATAAATTATTTTAGCTTAAAATGCAGAAAGTGCTAACTAATGAGAACTGAACACTTGTGTATATAAAAAACAGTAATTCCAATTGTTAAATGCGAGCCTAAGAATTATGTTGTAATGATAATAATTATAAAGAATAAAGATAAAAAAGACTTACAGCTAATATGACGTCACCTTTTCGAAGTCTTCCATCTGAGTAAGCAACGCCATCTCGATGAACTTCTGTGACACATATCTGCTCCTGAAACGAGAAGAAAGCATTTATTTTGATACAGTTGTAGAGACATTAGGAATTTTTTAAAATCAGAAGATGTGAAAAATGAGCAATGACTACGCCGGGACTTGAACCAAGGGCCTCTCGAATACACGCCGAGCGTGCAGACTACTACACCACGAAAGTACGCTAAGAAGGCAAAGAAATACTTATATACTCCCCCTTTTAAAGCGTGAGTGGGGTTTAGGGGACCCAGTCGCCAAATCCTGGTGGTGAAGAATCATCATTTACCACCTTTTAGTTGTTCGGGCGCCACTGTAGAGCTATTAGGTTATTTTGAAGCAGGAGAGGGGAAAATTGAGTAATGCCCTCTCCGGGACTCGAACCACGGACCTCTCGAATATGCGTCGGGCGTGCTGACCACTACACCACGAAGACATGCTAAGAAGGCGGGAGAAATATCTTACATACATCCGCTTTTTAAAGGGCGACTGTGGACCCAATCGCCAAATCCCGGTGGTGGAGAATCATCATTTACCACCTTCTCAATTCGGGCGCCTATGTAGAGACATTAGGTATTTTTTGGAAAGACGAGAAGTGAAAAATGAGCAAGGCCTTGGCCGGGACTCGACACGGGCCTCTCGCGCCGAGCGTGCAGACCACTACACCACGAAAGCACGGTAAGAAGGTGGAGAAATATCTCCTACAGTTTAGAACTGAAGCACAGTTTTAAAGAGAAATAAGATTTTACTGACATCTAGAATGTTGCCTACTTTTTAACCGGTTATCTTACGTTTCGTTATTTTAGCAGAATATGTATAATCCACATGACCTGGTTAAGTGCTGCCATTCCCAACAAGTAAGATTTTTAATTTGTCTTTCATATAACGTTAGTAGTAATTTTCCAGAATGTTGCCATTCGACGAAGTAAAAATGTTTGATTTACGGTTCAATTAAGAAAGTAATTCATTAACGAACTGAGCGATTTAAACGCAATAAATATACTTCTTAGAAATGTGTACCTTTACTAAACTTTATCTCTAATCGCTGTAATGTTAAATAAAATCACTGTATAACATGCACCAATTGATAACTTTTTTAATATTTGGAATGCTATTGCAGTTCATAAAAGATATTTCTATTTCGGCACATAATTGTTTGGATGTGTTTATATATATGAGCCTTTTAAAGTGTCCTATATATAAGAGACAATAATGGAGCGGCATATCTAACAAAGTAACGAAATAAATCTAAACGCCCCATCGAAATTTTTATGTGTGTGGCCCAGTAGTATTTCTATCTAAATCAACATTCAATCTATTGTAAAAGAGAATTTGTTATAATATCAAAACAAATTATTCTAATTTAGAACCAGTTTGGTATCTCATCCGCAGCATTCATGCTGCATCACACAACCCCCCCCCAAAAAAAAACTTCTAAATTTCAGACTGTTGCCACTTAGAGTTCTCTAAATCATTGTGTTTCTACCGATTTGCGTGTTGCCATTCAGAGGCAGAGAAAAGTGTCTTTTCAAACCGGAACAATAGAAATATATGTAAAGAAAAGATCAAATACTGGATCAAGGATTGATATAACATATAAATGTGCATCTTTTATTTTGGTTGCCATCGGCCGCAACAAAAGTATATAAATGTATGTACATACATACACATATATTTATATACTTTTGGTGCGCGTAACAGAGGGGATATATATATATATTCCCTCTGTTACTCGGCTGAGTGACCTCAGTTTCTTTATTCTTATAGGTTTGTAAATTGTGCATTTTCTGCTTTAAAAGTGATTGAATTATGTTGTTCTTAACTTCTGGTTAAGGTTTATATGCAATTTGTTAACTTGTATGTTATAGTTGTAGAATTATCAACAATTTAAAAGTTTTTTAAGTGCGGCAAAGCCTAAGTTTTATTACCATGGCAGCCATGTTTGTTTACATTTGAAACTTAGCAGAATAGTGGACTTGTTGCTGATCTAAAGAAATTAAGCTTCGCAACGACAAAGTAACGTCTTCTTTTATTATTGCGAATTAAATTATGCTTAATTCATTCTGGAATTATCATTGAATTTATTAGCTTGTTTTTGCGTAGAAATTGTAATTTTAATTGTAAAAATAGTTTTTTTAATTGTTTGAAATGTACTTGGCGTTTTATGTTTTTCTATAGCTTTCAAATTTTAATGAAAATATTTTGAATTTTTATGTATTTTTGCCTTGCCGCGAAGGGAGAACTGAAGTAATTAGTAGCGCATGTGCATTAGGTAAGAGACGCTGAATCGTCTGCTAAAAACTGTTTCTTTTTTATTTGTATAATTTCTTTTACACATCGTTTAAATTTATTATAGTATTTGAATAAAACGTGTGGTAATTCTTCATGATAAGATGATATAATTTTTGTGCACTCTGAAATATAAAATCGATGAGATATAATGCTGTTAAGTGAACCTAGCGTCGAAGTGTCGCTATGGTAAATAAATATAGTGAACTTTAAAGAGTTCATTTATTCTGTTGTGATTTATGCGCTATCCACGAAGTTTAATTCAAAATTCGTTAACTGTTAATTCGATATGTTTAAATGAAATGCAGAAAATTTGAGCATAATTTAATAATCTGTACAAGGACGTCATGTGGTGTACACATCAGATTTTTTATTATTGCAGCCATATATTTTTACATTTAAAACTTAGCAGAATAGTGGATTTGTTGCCAATCTACAGAAACTAAGCTCTGCAACAACAGCGTCAACAATAATTTATTTTTAATAACTTTTATTACAAAACAAGTAAACGTCTTCTTTTGGTATTACGAATTAAATTATGCTTAATTCATTCTGGAATTATGATTTAAGTTATTAAATTATATCATATATTGACTTTGCATAGCGTCCACAGTAAATTAAGTGAGTTTCTACGTTTCCAGTGTATTCAGTTGCCCAGTGAGACCAATAATAAACTTTCAGTTTTGTGCGCCAAAAAAAATCTGCTTTCTTGACCCGCTGGCGGAATTGCTTGTTTTTGAATAGAAAATGTAATTTTAATTATGCATTTTTGAAAATTTAATTGTACTTGTTTTGTAATTTTAATTTTTAATTTACATAATTTTAATTGTTTTTAATGTATTTGTTGTTTTACGTTTTTCTATATCTTTCAATTTTTAATATAGATATTTTGAGTAGTTATGTGTTTTAGCTTTGTCGCAATGTGAGAACTGAATTAATTAAACGAGAAATATGTCTCTAATGAAACTCGAGGAAATACGTTTAAACGAAAGGCAGGAAATATGCGTATAATTTAATATTCCGTACAAAGATGTCATGTTGTATATGCATCAGATTTTTGTTAACTAAAATAGTGCAGAATAAAAATTAACAGTCGTTAAAAATTAACAGTCGTTAAAAATGGTTGTTAAATTGTACCGTATTTAATAAACCCGTATTTAATTGATAATTAATGGTGATAATGTTCTACGAGCTGACGTAGTATTAATTATGCAGCAGTTCTACAGAAAAACAAGATTTTTATTGTTGTGGTATTCTTTCTGCATTGTTGTGGTATTCTTTCTGCATTGTTGTGGTATTCTTTCTGCATTGTTGTGGTATGAGTGCAGCGTTTTTGGATGCGTGCTTGTATATTTTTTTTTTAAGAACAGATTTAAAATATCAAAAAGCGTTTAATTTCATACATACGAAAAAGAAAATATGAACTAAACGAGCAATACAGTACATGACATTTTATTTAATTACAGAAAATGCGCATCTTAATGTGCATTACACAAATATTGCATTACGAGTCAGCTTCATAATGCTACCTCGATGTAAAGAAGCCGGTACCTTTACGCAAGTAGGCTGCTAATTGTAAAAATACAAATTTTAATAAAGGCATACATATAAAAGTTCTCAGATTTTTATGTAGAACATATTCATGTTTTCGTTCTTTTAAAGACGCAATGGGTGGAATACTATGTTTATGCTTTTTCTGAAAAAACATATTCCTATCTAGTTATCAAAAAACTATTTGGATGTCATAGTTTTTCTATATCTAAAGCTACGATAGGTAATGTTGTCAAAAAAAAAAAAAAAAAAAAAAAAAAGGAAAATAATGACAAATTTTGGCTTTAAGTGAAAACATTGTTCCAAACATATATCCAAAGGAAAACCGGAATGTTTCCAATATTGTAAGAGCAAAGCCGTGCCAAGATATTTTTTCACCTCAGGCAAAAAGGTAAATACGCGCTCCTGTATATATATATATCAAAAGAGCTATATTAGTATTAAGCAAAAGTAAATGCATTAAATCAAAATATCATAGTTCTTATAGCATAATTATACCATAAATCTTATTATCCATTATTAATTTAAGTATTTTTAACCGAAGCTTTATAAATTCAGAAAAATAATATAGCCAATTATTTATAACTTTCAGATGAAAATGTTAAAAAATTATTATTTTTTTTGATAAATAAGAAATAACATCGAAACGCACATTGCATTAATTTCCAGATTTTCTTGCAATTTTTCCTATTGTTTTATTAATTTAAGTTTGGTGGAGCTTATTTCCCCTAATAATAACTGAGAAATTGAAAAACATAATTAAAGTAATTTTCGAATCCGTATGGCCAGTTTGGCGCCCCTTCTAGTGATTTACCTGAAGTATGTGTCCTTGTCTCGGCTCTGGGTAAGAGCTTTAATGTTAAAAATGAAAATCCGCCAATCAAAGGACAGTTTCAAAGTCAATAATGCTCACTGTCAATAGTAACCAAAGTGATTAAGGCTGATTTTAATCGTAAAAAAGGGCGAATAAAATATAATGTGGATTGCCTTTCTCCACGACATATAGCCCAACGCGGAATGTGCTGCAGAATTCTTTATGAGAAACATTTATCCGAACAAAAACTGAAAAGGTGCTGTAACAGTAGACGAATCTTGGGTGTATTTAAATGATTGAAATAAAAAGAGATCCATTTATGATCATCAAAGGGGAGAAAAAATCATAAAGCATCCTTCAAAGAATCTAAA